CTCTAAGAAAATTTTTCCATCTAGAATTGCGAGCCCTAGGACAAAATCTAGCACTAATAGAGCAGCCATCAAAATGTTTTTCTTGGTCAAAGATGAGAAGAAGAGGGAGGCCCAACCAAACTCAGGTTCACAAACAGAACAAAGGCTGAGGATTTGTTCTGTGGGAGGGAGGTATTAAATAAAAAAGAGAGGATTATTTCTCTCTTAGGTGTGGGTGGGTATTTCTTGGAAGTAGATTCCACCTTCTTTTTCTCCTTGTATGGGCTGGTTCTGCCTGAGTCAGAGCACATTAGACCAAGATGGCACTGGGACGGGAATGCTGGAATGTGAAATCAGTGTGACATCCTCTGTTTCTGAGATCAGTTTTGTCTTATTCCATCCTGCATCCTGGTTTTGCAGCTTTGGCCAGTCCTAAATGCCTGCATAGTTTGTCGAGTAGGTATTTCTTTATCTGACACAGAACACTGGTTTTCCTTGGGGCTTCAGAGCACTCATGTCTGGGGACAAAAATATTGGAATTTCTAACAAGTCCCCAGGCTGACGCTGGGAAACGCTTTTTGAGAGCTACTGCTACCTATCCTTTAGCAACTTTTCTAATGTGGCAATTTCCAGAACTTTTGAAGAATGTATTTACTATCTTCTAGCATAACATTGTCTTCAAAAAGTGTATAGATATGGTAATACATTTTAGACTGCTGTTGTAGGTGTTTTCTACTCAAATGTGGCAAAGTCCCACAATATGAAAAGCTGTGTCAGAAATATTTAAATCATTAAACGTAGCCTTACAGTTATGCTGGATGATGAAATACCAGGCAGAACCTGTATTGCTGGCTGGCCTGGAACTCCTGGTCCTGGCTGTGTGTGAAAAATTTAGAACCAGCTACTGTTGGGATCTGGCGCCACCAAGTGGTAGATATTTGCTCTGTCATTGTACATTCCCTGACACTGCTGGAAAGCTAGCAAATGTAGCGGAACAGTGTTAAGGAAAAAAAAAAAGTAGTACCTTTGCCTCTCATGTACTTTGGTATTGTGCAAATAAACTGCCTTCGTTCCGCAAATATTTTTAAAACGTTTTCAATAGACAGTGTTTTTTTAATTTATATTTTAAGGCAGAATGCAAATGCAAGTAATTTAAATTTTAAAACCTGACACTGTAAAGCAAACTTTGGTTTGGTTAGAGAAAATGGAAAATTTTGCAGAAACAATATTTGCATCAGTTTGTACTATAACTCAGAAATCTGTTCAGAAAATCTAGTAGTATATCTCTTAATAAATAATAAAGTACTTCTGCTCAATTCTTTTGGTTCTTTAGTGGTGGAAAACCTACAGCACAAATGTTACTGTGTTTGTCTTTTAAGACAAAAATGTTAATGTAGAGAATTGTTTTCTAAACTAAAACCTCAGTATTCGTGTTTGATTGTAATGTTGAAACTTTGCAGTAACTAAGTTTTGGGTTGCAGTTTGATATTCGAACTCAAAGTTTTGCTATTACTATATTAGAGGTATTTGTGAAGACAAAGGGCCAAGAATACAACCAGTGCCCAAATCCAGGGGCTAAAGCAAGTTTCAAGGCCCTTTATGGGGGCGGGGGAGGGTGCTAAGATTTTGTGAAATTGGTTTCTCCAACCTTAGGTGATGTCCCATTTTCAAAGTACGACAGAGAACTTGAAGATCGGTGAAGGACAGATCGGACAGTTGACAGGGTCCAGAACTGTAAAAAGTTGGATGGGGTGGCGTGCTGCTGTCCACTCTCTAACTTGACCCTTGAGGAAGGGAAAAGAAGCCACTTTCTGAACATTTCCACCAACCTGCTGTGGCCACTTGGAGATGTGTCTCAAAAGTAAGAGGCTTGAGACCAATATTTGGTGTAGACCTAAAGAGGAAAAGCAGGTGCCTCTGCTTGGTCCTCCACTAGAGGCAGAGCAGAGGTGAGCTGTTCCCACTGGCAGTGGCCCTGCTTCTTCGATGAAGAGATGACAGTTTGTATTCTCTGAGTGCCCCGTGGGAAAAGCTAACAGTCATCTCAGAAGTGGAGATCGAGAATCTGCATCTCTAACAAATGCTCCGTGATGCGACTGCAGATTAGGGGAACAGATTTTGAGAACCCCAAGAGGTTATTCTGGCAGCCCCCGGAAAGGTGTAACGATGATGACATCGGACACCTGGTATTCCCGGCACGATTCACACATTGTTTTATCAGGCAGGGCAAGGAAATCAAATGCTGTGTGAATTTCCAAGGATTATTCCATCACAGCTTTTTCAAACTGAGTTTTAGCATCACAAATATTAAATTACAGCACTTTCATGGCAATGTTGTTAAAATAAGGACTTTAGCCTTTCCTTCTCCATATCTTTTTCACTGTGAAAATGTAGTGAGACTTTGCAAAGTGTTTGCAAAATGTATTGAAACTGCATATCGCCTGAACAAACAGTATGAACAGAGCTTATGTGTACTTTGATTTCCCTGGTGCCAACTGAATGTTAGATGTACTAACATGATTCCCAGGAAGAGGGCGCTGTGGCACCACATTTACTTACCAGCTGTCTAGTGAATTTCTCAAGGGTTCCTGTAAGGCTTTATAAATTTAAAAGGTTGATGATACCCTTACACTTCATTTCCCCCTTAAAATATCACTTGTAATGTCAGTTAGAAGTGATAGCTTGGAACCTCTATCGTCTGGAACTAGAGGGAATATTTGCAAATTATTTTGTCCATCCCTGTCAGCCCCACTGATATTTTTCTACTTAAGGCTCATTAAGTTTTAATTATGATCGCAGTCATTTCATCAAATTGCTCCTTAAATAAAACAAGTCTCAAATTTTTAAGGAGATTTTAAAGCCAGTTTTAAAAATGAGAGTCATTTGGTAAGACTATTTGTGTCACTGAAGGTACTCATGCACTGGCGCATTTTAGGAATCGGAACATGTAAAACTGCTTTTCCGTACCATTTTGCACTTTTTCTTTGGGCAAACTAAATATTGAAGCGATTCTAGGGGTATTTATTATATCCCAAAATGATATTTCCAAATTATATTCTGTAATTATACAGGTTATTCAGAAGAATATTCCAGTAAATCAGTGCCAAATTAAGATTTTAAAAATCAATCTTTCACAGATGGAATGTAAACTTCTGATAAATGTCAGAGTAACATTACAATATTTTCAATTCAATGTTGATTAATTCAAAATAAAGCCTAGAGTGTAATATTCATGTATTCCCCAGCCACACTATTAAAATTTCTCCATTATTATACTTGGAATATGATATATGACTTTATTTAATGAGAAAAAATGAACAGTAGAGGCAAAAGCATAAATTGTTAATTAGCTGAAATAGATCTTTATAAGGCAGGTTACATGATGGTTTGCCAGTAAGAGTCAAGGAAGGGTAATGTTTATAAATAAAACTTTGTATTCTGAAAAGTTTGAAAAGCTCTCTGGATCATCAAGCTCAGACTATAAGTGCTGTGTTCTACACATTAAATTATAGGATCTTAACCTTCAGGCAGGGAGGGAGGCCAGGAAGTATCTTTTTCTTTTTTTTAACCAGGAACTGCATTTGTCATCAAGCAGTAAAGACCTGGGAAATCACGGCTTGATGAGAAAAACCTTATTTTCTTCACATTCAACAGGGAAGGCCAAAGACTACTTGTGGCTAACTGGCCTGATGTTCCTCCAATTGACAGATCTTTTCCTCTGAGGTCCCAGGATGACTGTTGATACTTGATCTGTTTGTTATGACTTCCTGATAGCAAAGAAGAAAGAACAAAGGAAAAGAAAAGGGGCAATTCTTTGATGTCCCCCGTGCATATCTGCTAACATCTCATCGGTGGGAAGTAATCAGTGTTCCTTCACCTCCGCTGAGAAAGTTGGCTAAAGGCAGCTTTTAGTTAGGCAACCCTAACAGAAGTAGCTTGTTAACAAAGGAAGCAGAAAATGGTTCTCTGGCCTCTGCCATAATCTGCTTCTCCTGAAGAGGAGGCAGTTGAGCCCAGAGAGAGGAAGCCCGGCCAGTCACATGTCAAACTGGAGGGGGATCAAGGACGTGATGCACCATGGTTTCTACCCTCCTGCTTTTAGTTGAGTTGTGTACTAAATTCTATGTGTGTGCTGCTAAGACAGGAAAGAGAGGCTTACCAAGTTCTTAAGATTTTACTTTAGAAAGAGTACAATAATGTAAAGAATTATGGGCCATTAAAAGTTCATAGATCTGCTCATCTCTGATAAAATCATGTGATTTGATTTTTCTGTGGAAATACATCGAGCCAAAGAAAAATAAATTCCTGTCATAATTCCTGACATGGAAATGAAGTGACACTATGGCTGCAAAGACATCGAAATTTAGTTTGAGGTCTGTTCGTCTGAAGCATGGAAATTGTTCCCCTCACCTCTACGAACCTGCAGCCTTCCTTCTCTCCCACACTGAGAACGCAGACCTCAATTTTCTGAGGGGTGCAGTAAAGAGATAAAGCTTGTTCGAGCATTTGCGACTCTCTTTGCAGCAACAAAGGCGGATGAAAAGGAGGCTTTGAGAAAATGTTGACTTTCCCTTGCAGAGATCAATCAAGCAATTGAAACGCTTGCTAAACTCACAACACTATGTCACTGTTATGTGATAATCCGGGAAGCACCTGTTACCCATTACCACTGGTAACACAAAGAAATGATAGGCAGAAACTGGAAAAGGAAACATTTTCTAAAAGTTGCAACACATTAAAACTACATCACCAATGTTACAGAAGGAGACAAAGACTAGCAAGACAGAAATGGCTTGGTTTCATTCTTTTTGGAAAATAGGAAATTATTTTTGTCTTAAGATGTGCAGGTTATGACTTCATACCGTTTCAACCATAAAAATGTATTTGAACATTATAGCCCCATCCAAAGTTACAAAACCACAATGCTCTCCTTCCATTTGTAAGCTGTGTCTGGGAAGTAAAATCCAAGTAAATATTTCTAGTTACTAATCCAGTCTTGTATGACTCATTTCTGATTACAGTGGGAAAAGCTACAGATGACCACGAGTGAAAGAAGGAAAATATTCTGCTCTGTCACATTCCATGTCATCGCCATTACCTGTGTGGTTTGGTCCTTGTATGTGTTGATAGATCGGACAGCAGAGGAAATCAAGCAAGGCAATGACAATGGTAAGAATGTCTTTCTTCTCCTTCTGTCTGGGGCCGTAATGGCAGCAGCCAGTTCTGGTTCATATATGTGATGCCTGAACAAAAGCTAGTGCTTGCAGTTGATTCTTCCTCAGGTGTGCTCTTAACTCTGACTACCACAGGGCTCCCTGCCAAGGTGTAAGATGTGTCAAGTTCGTGTAAAACTTCACAGGGAGAAACACAGAGAAGGCCTCCACCACCACCTCGGGCTTTTCAGGAGCTAAGTAAGGACCAGGTTCCGAGTGATATAAAAAGGCAAACATTTGTTCAAATGGAATGTTTTAAAATTTTATTACATTCACCCTATTTGTTGCTCTTTTGATGCATGAAGATGATATTCTAGTAGAGAATGTGCTATAGCTTCTTAGTTCCACGTAATTTGATAGAAAGGGTCTGCACCATAGTTTAAAATTTTAGCCATGACCAGTGTGCTCGTAAAGGATGATGTCAAGTCTGCAAAGAAAGATGTATCCAATTACATTCTTACATTTAAAATGGAGAGATCATTTAAAACATAAGCAAAAATAGGAAGCACAGTGGCTACAAAATGTTGCTGATACTCGCTTCTGTTTCCTGTCAGGCTCTATGAGCTGCAGCCTGGAGCCTAACTCAAAGGTGGTAGAACAGTGAGGAGTGTTTCCACACACCCTAGAAACTGGGGAATTTGAAAGGAGAACAGTTTCAAATGGTAACTTTATAAATTTGAAGTGTCATAAAAAGCATTTGTATCACCCACACTCCCTCCCCCCCAAAAAAAGAAAGAAAATTAAAAGCAGAAAAACATGGGGTAAAGTGAAAGAAAAAAGACAATTTTGAAAGAAGTTTTATTGTATCTGTGTTTGTATGGATTCAACTGCTGAAAGGAGGCTGGTCCACTTGGGCTGACCCTCCTGGCGACAGCAGCACACCCCTCTGTGGGCCTCCTTCTAGCCTCTCAGAAGCAGGACAGGGCTGGCCGAGTAATGAGAATGGCGTGGTAAAGGTTAATGGAGTTTCCAGGAGGGCTGAGAAAGAAGAGCTCAGGACGGACTTGCAGATGTCCCGCGCCAGCCCACACAGCTGCCGCCCCTTCAGTGCCTGTTTGAAGGTCCCAGCCTCCACGCCGTCCAGACTCACAGGTGGCCTATCTCCAGCTCCTGACACTGGGAAGTTACCAGTAACACCCAGCAGCCAGGTCCACGCCCGGCCTTCGTTCCTGGTCATCCTCCTCTCCCTGAATTCAATCAGCAGGCCCTGTTTGTTCTCTTTATTTGCTCCTGGAGTCTGTCTATACATCTTCTTCCCAGCTCCACCTAGCCATTTGCAAACTATTATTTTGGTTTTTTGCTTGAAAACTGCAAAAGCTTCTTAAACTTTTTCCAGTGATGTCCAACAGTAATGCAATCACACCAAATTTACAAAACCATGCATGCAATCACATTCTATTTCCATTAATTTATAGCCCCTAGACCTTGGCTGTCGGCGGTTAGGCTGAACTCCATTGTGCTCCTCTCACATCTACTCCCAGACCTATGGTCAGCTTTTCTTTTACGTGAAACACTTCCTCCAGTCTTGTCTTGTCCACAACCACCACATACACAAATACTCAGCTTTCCTCGCATACCTCCCTAACTCCGAGTCAGCCTTGGCAGCCCACTCTGGGAATCCTACTTCAGCTCCACAAGTTAGGACAATCGTTGCTATCACAGTGTTTCTCATCACGTCATCCCACAACCAGTAACATTAACATCCGCTAGGCATCGGTTAGAAACGTACCTTCTAACCTCCCACTCCCCTAGACCTAGGTATCAGGAACCCCTGCTGTGCAGAACAGCATTTTGTGCTTGAGAAGTCTAGAGGTGACTTGATGCCTGCCAAGCTTTGACAGCCCCTGCCTTACCATGTGTTTCCAGAGCATCCTGTATGGGGTCTCTCCACTTTGCTTTCATATTAGTGTTGCCTGCAGGGTTTCTATAACACTACAAAGCCCCAGACTTTCAGACTTAATTATCCCTATGGGATTGATGCCTGTCAGAAGTCACACTGGGAATCTCAGCCCTGTCGTGAGACTTACCACACCGACGTTGCTCACTGAATCCTGTCTCCCCTCACTTGCTTACAGCAGGTTGGGCCACGTGTGTCCAGATCACCACCCTGTCCTGGTACTGCCCGGGTTTGGGAGTTGCCCAGTGACTTAGTCAATCATGTAGAAGAAGTGTGAAACGTGCGTGCCTCTTGTACCCAAGATTTTCCACCTGTTATTTGAAAAATTTGTTTCTTTCTCAGTTCGGGGTGGGGACAAAATTTCAGACCCAGTCTCCCAATAGGCTGTCCTTCAGGGCAACCAGATTTCCTAATAAAATCTTAACTAACATTCAAAGGCTAGCTTTTCTGTTATAAATTATTTTCAGTTTCTTAAAGGCAACTGAAAAGAACATCATTTTATCACTGCTGTTCAGAGCTTTTGAATTAAGAAACAAGCAGTGTCCACTGTTCTTACAGGGCTATGCCCCTGTGGAGTAGTTCCTAAAACATACGCAGAAGCCACAGTGGCTTTTATAAACAGTTTCATCTATATTGATGCCCAGTCTGTGCTTGAGATCTTGCTTCCCAGTACGTGCTCTAAAGGGGGAAACTGTATGAGTCATTATTTTAATCTTCCCCTGGTATTGGGATGGTGAATATTGATCCTTCATTTACTTTTAAGATGGTAAGGAAAACTCCATAATTTAAATGCTGCATATTTCAAATGTATCTTTAAAACCTTCAGAGATATTTGAAGAGGAAAAAATTGTCCTTTCAACCAGAACTGAGGTTGAATATGAAACAGTGAAACTTTTTGAACTGCAATGATAGTGCTGGAAGAAAAGCAATCTTCCTGTGTTCTAAAATGGCTACTCTTTTAGATTAAATATGCATGATACCCAGAGAGCTCTTTTACCCCGTGCTCTTTCCTGGTGATGATAAAATAAGATAAATGAAATGAAATATTTGGTATTTGAAATGTTAAACTCTAAATTACCCTTGTCGATAACTTGAATTTGCACAATTTTTCTTCCTGCCTTATCTTTAGTGATTCTAGAAGAGTGATTCAGTGCACTATTTGTATTAAATCCCAAACTCAAAAATACAGACTAAAAAAACATCAACAATTTATAAGTTCTATATTCCTTAGGCAAGGATTTCAGGTTTTTTATTTTGGAATATTTGCGTGTACGTGATGAGATGTCTTGGGAATAAGCCCCAAGTGAAATCATGAAATTCACTCATGTTTCTTTCTTATACCTTATAGTCGTAGTTTGCAGGTAATTTTAGGCTAAGTTTTGACTTTGATCCATCACATCAGCTAGAACTTTCCAGTATGATGTTATGTCAGCACTCAGACTTTGAAGCATTTTTTAGTTTGGGTTTCAGATTAGGGATGCTCAGCTTTATAGCAAAGAAAATGTAGGTGTAGATACCAAAATCGTTTCAGAATTCTTTAAATATATGCACCACAGGGGACTCGGTAACAAATCGATTTTGCTTTCATGACTGACTCACTTGTGAAGTTCCAGCTCCTCGGGGCAGGCACCATGCCTCATTATTCAGAGTCCCCGGTGACAGTAGAGGGTGGGCGCTAACTGTGGCTGACTGCAGAAGATGAGAACCCACCCCCCAGAAAAGAACAACCCAAATATATTAAACACTGGCTTGGGTTAACTGATAGAAGGCCAGCGTTCTAGTTCCTCCTTGGTCACTGGCTGGTTGTGCTGCGTGAAATAATTCATCTCTCTGAAGCTCGATTTCCTCACTTGTCAAAATAAGAAAGTTGGACTTTGAGTCTTCTAACGATTCTTTGTAGGATTCACTTTTCAGACATCATGAACGTGAAGTTGCATCAGAATATGTGTGTGTGTTTATATAAACAACACACATGTATCATACATGTTTAATCACAGTGAAAAATATGATTTAAACAAATTAAGGAAAAGAGACTTGCAAGTTTTGCTGTTATTGACTAATACTTTATCCAACTGCAGAGAAGCAACCAAGAGAAAATCAACTCATCCATATGGTTTCTTCTACAGGCATATTTTATAATTGCATAATCTTAGCCCAAAATATTCCAACTTAACAGTGAGGTGCTTTTTCTAAACATACCTTGCCTTTGCAGGTTCTCTTCTCGTTTTAAAATACTTCTAGACATCAGGAGTCTTCAGTCACATAATGTGCAACATAAAATATGCAGGAAACTCTGACAAATCAAGTTTGTAAGTTGGCAAAGACCTTAGAAATCATTGTTTTAAAGAGGGCTGAAGATTTAGCTCAGTGGTTCTGCTGCCTGCCTTGCAAGCTCAAGGACCAGAGTTGGATCCCCGGTATGAAAAAGAAAGACAGAAAGAAAAAAAACTCTCTTGTTACCTTTGCTGGTGATTTAGCTAAGCGGTTCTACTGCCTGCCTCACAAGCACAAGGTCCCGAGTTTGATTCCCAGTATCAAAAAAACAAAAACAAAAACAAAAAAATGAAAAAATAAGTACTTTGCCTGATCTCCAGCTATACAACAAAACACACCTGGTTCACCTGATTCACCCAATCTAACTTAGAGGAAAATGAAAAAGTGAAATATTCTAGATAACTCGTCTGTGTACCTCCAGCTGAGAAGGGAGAGGCCCTGACTGTACAGCAAGGGAAATACATCTGAGAACATTGCTGGAAAGTAAATGAGTCCTGTGAAAGTAAAAGGGGCCTGTGAATATGCATCAGCTCACAAGCCATCATCATTTGGAAAGCTTGGCATAGATGTTTCCTGTCAAATACAGCATACGAATTTGCTCCTTAAGCATTCGAGGAACTTTTAGTTTATTTTTGGTGGATTTCTGAGGTTTTCTCCTGATGAAGTGTTTGGCAACTGCAAGTAATGCTAAGAATGCACAGTGCTGCCTAAGTTCTGGAGCCCTGCCCAACAGCTACTTGGACTTCCACCTCCTGGACCCTGACGTTTCATTACCTGAAGTCAAA